CGGTTGCCATGTCTCGAGCACTGTACGGCTAGGGCCCGAAGGTCCGTGCGCTGGAGATTTCATATTTCGACTGGAGGCCGGCCGATTGTTTCATTAAAAAAAAAAAAGAAAAAGGCACAGGGTTTAATTCGTGTTTTGCGATCGCTGTTACAGACTTTCTTTTTGTTATTAATATTTGACCAACATAAAGTGTCAACATAAAGTGTCAACACACAGAGTGATCCTTTTTATTTATTTATTATATTATACAATACAAAATTACATACAGTGCGAACACAATCACAAACTTTTTTATTATTCGTAAAATAACATAAACAATCACAGATTTTCTTATTACTCTGCACGTAATTTAAATATAACGCGGATATCACTGGATAATGCAATTAATAAATACCACACGCGAGCGAAAAGTTGGAGATCTTTCCCGTCTGTTGAAGAACTGGAGATTGGTCTCGAAAACTGGAGTCTCCAATCGAAATTTGGAGACCTGACAACCGTGAGAATTATCGAATGGCATAAGTATAACCCAGATAGCCAAATGCAGTGTATTTGCTGACATGTTACAGCAACCAATTTCGACAAACTCAGGACAAGGTGAAACAGCATTATGTTTGTTGTGTTGAACTCAATGGAATTCAAATTCTTGCGATGACAAATTGATGGCAATATGTCAGCATGAATATCCTCGACAACAACTAGTGTTATCATATTGTCAGCATTTTGTTAGCAATGAGCTCAAGATGAAACGATTAATTATTCGTTACTAACATGTTGTCGACATCATAATGTACCATTATTGCTCACAGTTTGTTCTAGAAATTTCGACAACTGATTACATATATAAGCAGTCATGTTGTTGTATTTATGTGTCCTATTTTGATGTCAGCAAATGTACAGCAAATATATAACAACATATGCAATGCATTAGTTTGCACAATACGCTACATCACACTTGGCTATCTGGGAAGTAATGTATTTATTAGTGCTTTCACTGTGCAAAAGGAATTATTCTATCTTTGTTTAACATTGGCAAACAACGATATAATGATTCAACTGTGTTACACTGTCTCTCTTACTGGAAAACATTCATTATCTATTTTTGCAAAGTATAAAAATTCTATGTTTTTCTTGCACATTTAATATAAAATTAGCCTAAAAATTATGTAAAATACAGAGATACAATGGTAGAGTCACGATTTATTTAATTAAAAGGATTAAATTGCAGTCTGTATATGTTACACATTAAATCCATTTCTCTATAATTATGGGACAACTCATTTTTCTATTGAGACACTCTAGTGCGAGTCGAAATTGGAGTTTCAAAAGTTTTTGTAGAGAATATAAATCTGTCATTCTATTATCATGAATAATTGCACTGCATCATTATTTTATAATTGCTTTTTTACACCATCCTTCCATAGAAATTTGATTCTTTTTAATTATATTTTAAAATCAAGCTTTTAATTTAAATATCATAACTATTCTATCCTGTAAGATTTAATATGATGATAATCTATAGAAAAAAAACAATGAAATCTTACATTTAACATAAATTTTAGCTTCAAAATCTCAAAAATATAGATCAGTATAGCGATTTATAATTAATTTCTCTCTGCAGTAAAAAGAAAATACGCTTTAAACTTACCTTAAGTGGTCTAGTTACAGTAAGAGTTTCGATAGTGGTCGTTTGAGGCATTCTTTTTGTTTTTTTATTTGCACTGTAATAAAGAAAAAAAATTCGTAACTAAAACAAAAACGGTGCAAAGAAGGTTTCTATATAAACAATTTTCAAATTATGCTTAAAGAAAAAGTAAAACGCTACAGAACTCCCCATTTATAAAAACTTTTATAAAAATAAATTTATGTTCAGTTCCAAACATACAAATCTACAACTGATCCTAGTTCAGGTAATAAGACCTTGACATGCTTGTCTTCAGTTTTCTGAACATCAGCTCCTATTATCAAAACAAATATTAGTAGAGAAAATCTGGTGAGCCTCTATTATCTAAACTGTTCGGTTATCGGAACTGTCCTATCTCTCGACATGTTCATATAAACGGAATTCTATTGTATTTCACTTAGGGCTATGTGTTAAGAAATCAAAAATAAAACTGTCATTCAACATATTCAACCAAAGATGAATATTTAAAGTGATCTATTAGGATATCTATGGATTTCAGAAAACATATAGAAAGACTGTTTTAGATCAAATATAGATTTAATCACAATCTTACATTGCAAGTATAACACAAACTTTGAATGGCATTTATATATTCTTATTATTCATATACAAAATTGAATATATGAGTCATAATGCAACAGTGTATAAAACTTAATATCTAATACCTAGTTCATATATTATGTATTTTTCTAATATCTGATTCAATCATATTTTTTATAGAATATATGCAGTTAAATCTAGAGATGTTCCAATTTCCAAAAAATCTTTCTAAACGATAATAGCGATTTTAAACTGATCTATTTTGCGAAAAATTGATTTTTCTAACTGAAAGGGACAATTTTAAATCAATCTGTTCACAAAATATCGCTTCTTTTTTTAACAAAGCGAGCTATTTCGAAGTGATCTTTCTGCAAAAAATCAATTTTTAGCAAATCGATCTCTAATTGCTTCAAAGTTGAACCATAGAGTTTCAGAGGAAAAAAGCTACTGATATTTCTTCGAGATACTGCTTCAAATATTTCACATACTTATGTAATTAAATCATTTAAAAATATGCAATTTGTGTGTATATACAGAACGGATACTAACTGTGTACAAAGTATAAAAGATTTTAAGGGATAATGATATTCCCCACACAAAGTGGAAGAAAAAAAATTTTTTTTTTTAAATTTCGAAAATCCATTCATTATTTTGATAAAACTTTGTATATGTTCAGTTTCATTAAAAAAGAACAAGTGGATTTCAAAATTTTTAGAAAAAATAACATTTTTCCTTCAATACCCTATATTGTTTGAATTTGTGTGAGAAATCATTCCTTAACTTTTAGAATATTTACAATTAGTATTCATCTGTATATCTTTATGTATATTTGTATTATATATTCTTTATATGTATACATATTTGTGTTATATACCTTGATTAGTCACAAAAAGCATTTTTCTCTCCATTGTCTCTCTTTAGTATTAGTTCTTAATCTTAATCACACCTTTTACATTTAATCTATTTATTTATCCTTTCCCAGAAGAATTAAAATCCACATTAAAGACATGCAAAGGATATAATTAAAAGAAACACACTTATTTATTGATTTCTTTCTCACATAATGCTAGCAAAGTCGACGGACGTTAGTATAATAGTAAATAATACACGAAACCATGGTAGAATTAATTCCACCATGACATAAAACTATTAATGCCAAACAATTAGCTTGGGCTGCGTTTGGAAACATCACCCGAGTGCCCCTGTGTATCATTTTATCCTTGTTGTTCATCTAATATTAAACAAGGATAAGATGATACATCTGATGATGGGGAGGTACCCAGGTGATGTTTCCGAACGCAGCCCTGAAGTCGGAATCAGCAAGACCCCCAACGGCCTCAACCAAACAGATGAAAGTACAAAAGATCAAAAACCTACGTTCTAAGTGTAATCTCGACGTGAACTGTCGGGAGGAAAATGAGCAGGTTTGCGCAAGTTCCTGTCCAATTGAACTCGTTCACGGGGAAAATTATATGTGAGCACGTTGCTAGTAAAAAGAAACCTCTCTCCGTCCCATCGCACGTGGTGCCACTGGCAATGTTTCAGTTTCGAGGGTAATCTGATGTCTGGTTTATTCTGGGAAACTCGGATCCGGAGCTAGATTCTCTCTTTGAAAGAATGTGCGTTAATTGTCCATATTACTTCGTCTTTTCATCGACCTGTCAGTTGTCACTTCTGTTGTCACAATCTCTCGGTCAGACCATAATCACTCGTCCGTACTCGTCGACCACAACTTGTGGAAGAATTTACAGAGGTTATGGGCATGACATAAAGACAAGGATGCTATTGAGCGTAGCCACGCCCATTGACCAATCAAAATATGTAGCAAGCATACGTCATCATTAAGCGCGAAATGCGAACGTATGCTTTTAAGCATGCCTTTCAATCCGAAAAATTTGCCGACTTCTCGATTATTCTTCTCACAATCGACTGTGGTTGGTCAATTTCTTACTCTTACTTCTTACTATTGTAAACGACGCTTAATGGCCCGTCTAGAATACACGTAGTAACTTGGTTTAAGAAGTAAGAGTAAGAAATTGACCAATCACAGTCGAATGTGAGAAGAATAATCGAGAAGTCGGCAAATTTTTCGGATTGAAAGGCATGCTTAAAAGCATACGTTCGCATTTCGCGCTTAATGATGACGTATGCTTGCTACATATTTTGATTGGTCAATGGGCGTGGCTACGCTCAATAGCATCCTTGTCTTTATGTCATGCCCATAACCTCTGTAAATTCTTCCACAAGTTGTGGTCGACGAGTACGGACGAGTGATTATGGTCTGACCGAGAGATTGTGACAACAGAAGTGACAACTGACAGGTCGATGAAAAGACGAAGTAATATGGACAATTAATCTACAATACACGGAGTAAGAAGTAAGAGTAAGAAATTGACCAATCACAGTCAATTGTTCTTCTCACATTGGACTGTGATTGGTCAATTTCTTATTCTTACTTCTCACTCCGTGTATTGTAGACGACGCATTAGACTTAAAATCCTATTGTAGATCCGGGGTAAGTCCGGATCTACAATAAATGTTTTAAGACTTAAACCATAAGAAATTGACCAATTACAGTGGAATCCGAGGGGAATAATCGACTGTGATTCGCTCATTTCTTATGACTTAAGGCTTAAAACCTTATTGTAGATCCGGGATAAAAGATACTCGGAGTTGATAGAGTCGAGTTTTGGAACGCACCCCAAATGGGAATCGCAACACGCCTCTGAATTCAAATCCTCGGTGGAAACTAGGCTTGTGACGCCATGGAAGGATGCTGTAATGCAGTGACACGACCATTGAAAAAACTGGAAGAACATACAAACCATGGCTGGTAACGGATGGGTCAGGAGATTCGACGTTTACACAACGAGAAATTGCAAGAGGTGAGAAAATTAAAAGCATTTGACACGCGAAAGAATCTCATAATCAGTGAATTTTCAACACCTGCCGTCGTATAATTAAAATACTGATTACACATTGAATACAGATCTCTCGAATCATGCTCGCCGCAATTTGCAATCCACGTGCATCCATGCAATCGTTCGTTTTAATCCAATGTGTATTTTGGTAATACACTTTAATTCTCATTATTAAACTGGAGTTGTGCTTATTATTAACTTCTATCAATTTGAAAAATAAAAAAAGTGATTATACTTCAGCCTACTTTAGAGGGTCTATAATTATGTTCACATTGCTATAGAAATTATTCCGAGATTTCGGACGGTGGAAAAATTGATCAATGATTAATTGGCCGAATTGTTCAAATGTGATTTGTTAATTCTTTCTCTATCCGAGACAAAGCTTAATTCCTGTCGGGATCCAAGAAGTCCATTTACAATTTTATACGTCGTGTGTTTGACTCATTTGCTTGTGTATATTTTAGTATATATATTTTTTATACTTGTGTATTTTGGGAGTCGATTGCGTATCTTGAAATGAGGTGAAAATTACAAAAGTGAGCAAATTTACTAGTTGATCAGTTAAATTATAAATATTCTAATGAATTTGCTCACTTTTGTAATTTTTACCTTATTTCGAGATACACAATCGATATCCTTCAAACGTTTATCGTATTGTGTATCAAAAATCCTTGATATAACTCCTAACATGATGAGTTTAATTGAGTATGAAATCATGATTATATTTGTACATGCACTACCAACTGAAGAAATTTATTTTAATTTTTATTTATCAAAAGAACTTGAACATGTAAATTAATTATGTTAATATTTGTTTTGCAGATTTCTGAAGTCAAAGTAAATTCTTCATCGTATTAAATAAATGGTAAGAATCATAAATATATAATCACATATCTTAATGTACATAAATCTAAATAACAGGATGATATGTTTATATTTCTGAAATAACAGGATAAAATTTTTAATGAAATTTTGTCCCATTATGATTATTTCTACATGCACTACCAACTGAAGTAAATAAAATAAATTACTCTTGAGAAATATTGTTGTCAGAAACTACTAATTTATGTTCCATTTTTGCAGAATATAAAGGAATGGAGATTAGCTTATGGAGATCTACACAGGTAAGAATACGAGTAATGGTGCAAATTTGATGGTGTGATGTAAGTACAGTCTGTTCCATAAGAGCGTACGGTTCCGCACTTCATTAATAGATGACGCATAGATGTTAAGTTTAGTTTTTCCGATTCTCTGAACAGTTCGGAAGAATGCTTTGAGGTCATATGGGTAGTATGACTTGTTTTGACTGTAACAGAGCAAATAACTACAATGAGTGCTGCGTATGCAAGTCGTTTTGAAGCAGTGTTCCTTTGCACACATCCGAAAGGACCGAAAATGTCGTATGCAGCTGCTGGACGCTACATGAAAAAGTCAGAAGGATTCGTCAGGAAGTGGGTGAAACGTTACAACGAAACAAAAAATGTCGACGACCTGCCGGAACGTGGCATCCGACGGTCAACGACGAAAAAGGATGACAAAGTTATCATCAAGATATTTGAGAAGAATCCTGGGTGTTCATTACGACGAGGGAAAAATCTTTTATTGAAAAAGGGTATAGATGTGAGCCTTAATACTATTAGACAACGATTGCTTGATTCCGAATACGGTTGGCAATCTAAGGAGAAACAGCCCGTACGTTCTTGTTGAACAGACTGTATATGTACATACACATAACCTACACAAGAAAACATCAGAAACTAATGACTCTGATTTAAAAAAAGTTTTTTTTTATTTAATCATGGAATTAAAAATGAAATCAAAGTAGTTACAAAAATAACATATATACTTTATAATTAATGTACCAATTTTATATTTTAAATATGGCAAAAGGAATGGGACAAATGCATTGCAATGTAAGGAAAATGTATTCGAAAATTACTTGAAAGATTAAATAAATATTTTATTAAAAATTAAATTTGTCTCATTATTCTTTGATACACTCTTGTACATATGTAATACTTAATAACAAATATTACTGTGTTACAATCAATATACACAATGTGTTTGTATAATAAATATTAAAGATGTATCTGTTTATTTTTTCCTGAACAAACCTTATATGTATATAATAAGAAATAAAATATACTTTTTGTCATACAATTGAAAAAAGAATTAGATCAATGCTATTAAGAAATGTATTATGGAACTGAAAGTCAACAGAAATAAGTTGACTAGTAATTCGTTGAATTATAAAAGCAAATGAAGCAATGAAAGCTCATAGTGCTTAGAAAATGCACTTAATATTGCACTAAGTTTATCATGGAATAAATCTTTTTACTTCTCTGGATAACATTTAATAGGAGGTACATAAAATAAATTAAAATATGCACTTGTACTACTCTTGGAAAACGTAAAAGAAGAAGAAGGCACTTTAAACCTAGTAGGTAAGCGAAGTAAAAATAAATATTCAACACAAGTATCAAAAATTTACAGTGCAAAAATAATGCAGTGACAGCAATGAAATGCACATGTAAAGGATACGGCACATTTATTATCTCTAATGATTCTTTCATTAGTTTTTCTTTTTTTTTTTTTAAGCAATGCTTCATAAATTGACATGTTCATTATGCACGTTAGCATTACAAAACTACGAATAATTGAGATGGACCAGTAAAATATGAAATTCTAAACGATGCGTCCGGCGTCGAATTTCTGGGTACCTACTACTTTGTTATAAATAATTTTCATATCACTATATGCGTTAGAAAATGTGTCAGTAGATAACTTTTTTTGGGATAATGCTTGCGCCATACGATGAATTCAAGATTATTTGCATCAATAGTATGACCAACTGAAATTCACAATGTTATCAATTGCAACGACTTTTGTTAAAAAAATTATGCTCTTTATTTGGGTCTTTAACGTTATCTTTTCATGGTAAAACCACGCGTATTGTTCACAATACATTGCGTAGTGTCAGTATGTGTCAGTAATTGGTTTTCGACTCGACGATAATGAGATTACGTGAGGACACGAGTCCCCAAAAATAATACAATTCTCGTGATAGAGTTGCGTGTGTCAAGTACATAAAACTATATTAATAATATACTTTAAAAATATCATATAATATATATATATATATATCTACCCATATTTACCTACAACATAATTTCCTTCATGCGTATATACATACATATGCATATGTTGTGCGTTCTTTAGTATCCAACATATGTATATGTATATCACAAGTATCATAAATCTTCAAGGCACTCCAGATGTATATTACATTCATATTTTACAAGTTGTGTTGTCCAGCGTTTAATGAACGGGGCATTTTGACGAGACGTAAAACACAGGATTATTTTACTCGTTTTAAAAGCGACGTAATAACGTCCTGTATGCACGTTTATACAGCATATGAAAGAGGCGATGCAGGCATTAGGAGAATTAGAAATATCTTTCCTTTTTTTTCTTATATCACTCGAATGTGTAATTACTTTTATAATTTTTTTTCTCTACGTCGATGCCAAGTACTCTGATAAAGCGTTCAATTTTAAAGCGCCTTCATTAGAAGCACATCATTTTCAATGCTGCTTCCCAATTTTCTTTTGTGAAACTAGACATGTATGATTTCATTTTGTGACAAATCGTAGATTAAGACCTATTTACGGTAGATGGAAGCGCGTCTCGCCATGGCACGGTTTTTACACGCACAGGAAACAAGTATATTATTTATGTCGAAAGGAAACACACAGTATTGTACAACGCTCATTAAACGAATGATTTTTGTTTCAATTTTCTTACTGATTGCATCATCTGTTACACAGCTAGTTAATTCCAAATCATTATAGAAACGTGATTGTGCCAAATATATACACAATGATAAAACAACCTTGCGAAATGTTATCTTTCACAAGAAAAATTAAGATTTTTTGAAAAATATATTTTCTAGATAAATTATATTTTCTAAGATGTGTGTGTGAGAAACAGATATCTGTGAATCACAAATGTCTCAAACATTATTTGTTGTACACAATCGTAAGCCACGGCACATTTTGTTGAGATATCTACCTTAAACTTTTCATATAGATAGTCAAAACGCTATTTTCGGTTAGCGCATAAACGCTTTCATATATATATATATTTTTTTCTATATGTATATATTAAAGAAATAAACTGCAGCGTGTCATAATGAAGCAAGACACGCCTTCATCTAGTACAAACGGTCGGTAGACAGTGATGCTAAACAAACACGAATATCATTTGCCAGTTATGTTATTAATGCGATCTAACCGTTCCAGTCTGTAAGGTCGAAATTTCGAGTGCGCAGATTCTAAGTGAATCACGCGCTGTGTTTATCCAAAATAGAGACTGATATATGAAATATTGCCTACGTGTTTGCTGCCTCCGTGTCTCATATAACTTTGGCTTCCCGCTTTAGTAACAGCAAGTTTCACAAGCCTTCGTATTCGTACTTAAATACAGTATGTTACAGAGAAATATCTATAAGAATGCATGTACATCACCATCACTTACCCCTAGCAACATTTAGGATAATGTACACAAACAAGACATGTACAGGTTCATCGACTGGATAATAGTTTTGATACACTGTCGCGCAGGTTTTAAACACCAATCTCAGTCGGTTTTCTGCTGATATAATTCTTTTAACGATTTCAATTCGTCGATTAGTGTCTGATTTCTATTCTCCAGCACCGCAACACGATTTTCTAAGCACTTTATATATTCCTTCTTCTTTCTTCTACATTCACGTGCCGCCTCTCTGTACACATTAAAAATAGAGATAAGAATATTCTTCATCATTGAAGGGATTCAATCTTTTTCTCATCTTTATATAAGATAAGAAAATTCTATTATATCTGTGTAGATAAGAATGGGTAATTTTGCATATGATAGGTCTATTCTTATCACTCACCTGTTCTTAAGCAACCTTAACTCTCTCTTTCGTGCTGCATCCTCCACTACTACTCCGTGACCTGTATAAGCTGTAACATTGCAAGAGACTGCACTCTCCAAATTTTTACGTTACGTGTATCATAATTCTCTATTTTTACTACTTTTTACTAGCCTTTTTATTTTATTTGTTAAGAATCATGTATTTTTCAAAAGGACATATAGTCTAGAAAATACGTCAAATTGTACTATTAATTTGTATATTATTATTGCAAATCTAAAAATAGTAATATTAATATATGTCAATTCATGCAATATAGAATTCCTCTTTGAAAAATAATTATTACGTCTATATCTATGTAAACAGTGTATATACTACAATAATATGATCACGATACAATATATTGTAATAGAAACAAAAAAAAAACTGAAAAGCTTTCTTAAGAATTTCTGATAGGAAATGATGCAAAAGCACACCTGGGACAAAAAATTGAGTGTCCTGGCCCTGTGCATACTGCACTATAGCTCCACCCGCTGTTGCCGCATTGCTCATAGTTAACGTGTGAAGCCCCGGAACTCCCTCCCCTTGGGTCGCAATTTGAATAGTACCGGCAGGAATTACTGTAAAACAAATTATTTTGGAAATGTAAATATGTTCTAAAAAAAAAAAAGAAAAAATATCCTCCAACTAATGACAACAGTGCCGTGCATCGATAACGCACTGGAAATGATAATGCATTTGCGTTGAAAGAGACTTTAGATGCGTGATACATAATGATATAATGTTCCTCGCACAAGAGAAAATTATTTGAGTTTTTAGGCGCCTTTTTCTTTTTCGTCGAATGATCCGAATGATAACTCTATATCGATATCCCATAAGCAAGAATGCCACACCAAGCGAGTATCGTGAAAAATGATATACAACGTTAGGCAGTACACACAGGGGTGGAAGACAAATAGTAAATGCGAATGGATCTTGATTTCAAATTCTTTTTTTTTCTTGTCCTTCTTTCTCATTAAGTACTCCTCTAACATCATCTCCCTCGGTATAAAGAATACAAGAACTACGTATATGGACAGCCTGTGGAATGTAATACAGCCAGGAAAGATACGTAAAAGGAGATAAAGTAACCAACCTGTTTGATAATGGAGCGAATGGGAAGACACTTCACTGTCCACGTTAGAATCACACTCGGAGGATGATTCTAAGGGGGGCAAACGACCGTCTGTAACACCGAATCAACCCAAACCCCCATTAATTAGCTCGTAACCGGTGTTGCTAACGTGTGTGTGCGTCATTCTATGTACAATGTATCACTTTTGCTTTTTTCTTTTTCTTTGCCAAATTTATACTATGTCCTTATTGATCACACTGAATAAATATATTCTAAATTACTTGTAATTATCTGCACCCAGAAAGTAAAATTGTAATACAGTGAAAGAAACAAAATTTCATCATGTAATTACGATTTGTTAAGTTATTTCCTTTCTGGCTGCTGATTATAAGACATATATTTATCATTGCGCTGCGTGCAGTCAACTCATACCAAAAGGAAATAGAAAGTACCAAGAAACATTTATTGAGAATAAGCTCTTAAATGTTAAACAAAAAGGTAAACTAAATTCTAGATAGAAATAACATGGAAATGACAATTAATTAAATGGCTCTGATTGTTCCATACATAAAAATAAAAGTCTGTGAAGTTTTGTAAAAACGATCTTATTAATATATTTGACAATATATATTATTTTCCACAATATAAATTGTAACAAGAATATATAGGGTGTATTAAAAGTGGAAAAGAAGTGGATTCATGCAGTAGAATTTATTCAGAAAATTAATTCGGTAAAGATGTTAGTGGTTGCCCGTTTCTAATTTATGATAATTTTTAAGAGAAACATAAAATTTTGTTATATACAATGTTTTTTTTATCAAATACTTTTTTTTAACATTTATTTCTAATATGGCTGTCAATTGCACTTACCTTCTAATACACCCTGTATACGTGAGGATTAATCAAATTAACGTAAACGTCGAAGCGACAATTACAATAATATTCGATGCTCCATAATATATCGCGGTGGATATGAGTGTGTATTTGCCGATAAATCGTTGAAAAATTATTTTTCTCGACTACAGGTGGGCGATTGCGTTTATCATTTAACTTTACTATTCCAAATAAATTTCTTTTTTAATATAGTATTAAGGTAATGGAGTCAGAGGAACGCAACTGCACAAACCCACTCCCGAGATCTCTTTCTAATTTTAATAATCTCCCATGTCTTCTTTTAAAGTTAATTTACGTTCGCATTGCTGTATACTATTATACGAGCTTGGTATGGCATACTTCTCTTATATACCTGACTGTATGTAAACTCTATAGTATTGTATATAAAAACGATATTAATACAAGTATTTTATTTCATCACGCGCTAAAACTCATTATGTCTTAAAAGAGCTTATATTACTTATTTGCGGTTGAAATTAGAAAAGCTTGGAAAGCTTCAGCGCAATAAATATTCATTATACCGTACCTGTGCTAATATATTTGAGGAACAAAATTAAGTAATATATTATTAAAAAGAGAAAAAAGGACATTCATATTAATTTCAGTAGTACTAAAATAAAAATAATCTTACAATTCAAATTCTTTATACGACTTCAAGATACAAATATGCAAATTACTATAGATTTTGTATCAACTTGTATGAACTGACATGCACGTGAACGTTTTATGTGATTAAGAGCGAGTACAAATATTTATCTTTAACATTTATCATTCCCGGCGAAATGTTTTGAACAAACTTACGCGAATGATATTAATTCAGAATCGCGGAAACCAGTGACTACACGATTAATATTCTCTATATCACGACCTAAATTTCTATCGCACAATAGAATGTCTAGTACGTTTGGAGACGAGCTTTATTATTTAAGTAGAAACGTCATGTCTTACCTGTAATTTCTCCTCCGCCTAAATCGTTAAGAATCTTTCTGTAAGACGGTCGTCTGGTTAGAATATTTCTCTTCTTGGGTGAATCCTCGTCTGAGAAACTATCGTCACTACCAGTTTCCACCACCTTAACAAATAGCATAGTATTCAAATTTCAATGACATATTAATAACTGCGTCACACATTTGCGCGTACTGATAACAATGCAGACATCTGGACGATCTTTAGGCTGAGGCGTTATAAAAAGTTAATATATATGACTCACTTGAAGCGTCTGTAAACTGCCTTGTGCAGTTTGTATAACGGAGTTGGGTTTGCTAACCAGAATAACGTTTCCTTTGGAGATTGCGACGGGTTGTATGTTTGTGGCGGTCTGTATCACGGACTGTTGATTGGGTTGTATGACCGATTGCACCTGTGCAAGAATCAAACAAAGTGTTAAATATTATGAACAGTCAAGACAATTATTATATCATTAAAACTAATTGTAGACACATGATCATTATTCCTTGTACATACAAAAAATATACTGCATCGACCAATCTGTTGTAACAATTAACTACTAAAGGAATAATGTACATGTCGTTTGTCATTTGTATGCTATGAGAAAGGTGGGAAGTTATTATGCATGGAACTTGAAACATATACCCAAAACTTATGCCCAATGTATACCTTTGACAACGTCACATTCACAGAAAGTATTCCCAACGTCCTACAATCTAAGGATGAGTGATCTTGGGAAGGCCTTTGCGTTCCCAAGACGCAACCAGCATTATGCAAGACCGGATGTCTAAATCGCACTTGCATTACAGAGAAACAATAACGATAGTAAAAGGACAAATAAACGGTATGCGCATGCTCCGAAATAAAGAGAAGACAAATTATCGGACATAGATACACAGGAGAGCCTCCTGTATACCTGTGTTGTTCCTGACGAGGGTAGCGTCAGTTGCACAATGCTGGTAGAAGCTACCAGGTGATGAGTTTGCTGCTGATGCGTTCTATCGATAGATTGTACCGAGGTTGCGATTGCTGGTGCTGCGTCGCTCTGGGAGCCCTGCACAGACAACGGATCGACGGTTGATCCATTTTCCTCGACCATACTTTCCATAGCCCGACTACCTCGCGAGCTCTGCAACATAGAAACACTGTATATAAATTCTGTATAAATATTTAGGATATATCAAGAGAGAACACAATCCTATAAAAAAAAAATAACTTTTGATAATAACTAATTGATTCACAAGTATACATTTGAAGGACACAAATGACACAACAAAACCTTTGAATTAGAAGAGCTTTCGATTAGCGGAACGCGAGTCATTTAAACTTCCCGCCAACAAATGAAATGACTGCTACTGCGTCATTTACATAAGCGGAGCTAAAAATAAGACTGAAAGGGAAGAGGGAGGGGACAATAAACACGCGCTCGAGGTAATTTCTTTCTTTCTTTCTTTCTTTCTTTCTTTCTTTCTCTCTCTCTTCCACTCGATGGAAAACGACGAAGGGAATTGCCACCCGGATAAACGGCAAGGGTAACCCTCGATCCCGCACACATACCTAGGAAATGCGAGCGCGTAACCCGCGATGATACCCCTCCCCCAGGTCACGGATGTCAGGGCGAAAAGGAGCAGGATCGCGCGACCCACCTCGTGTCGACCGTCCGGAGCGAACGTGGACGCGCGCGGCGAGTCTCTCTCTCTCTCTCCGCACCGTCGGGTCGCCATATTTCGCGGCATCACGTTAAGCGTAGCAGACGAGCGTAAAACGCGCGTATGCGTCGCGCGGCCACGAAGCAAACGCGGAAAGAGCGAAGCGCGATGCAAGCAACGGCGGACGCGCGACCGTTTCTCCGTCTCGCACGCGCGATCATCGCGGTGCGCGAGGAGCCGCGCGCTTGGTCCACGGCCCGATTGTTATTATTCTCCAGCTGGGGCACTTACCAGTTACGTATTTCTCGTCACCAAGTTTGCTGCAATCGGAGTGGGCAGTCGGGCAGGTACGTAGCAGCCACGTCAAAACTCCAGTGGCTTCGTCACTGGTGGAGCCCACGACCTCTGAGTTGCGCGTCACGCTCAAGATGGCAGTCGCCGTCGTGATAGCTGCTGCCGCCGCCGCTGTTGCTGCCGTTTGGTAATGCCGCTAATGCTGCTACCGCCGCTGCCAGTGTCGTTGATGTTGTCGTTGCTGCTGACGATTCGCCCTCGACCGCCGCCCTCTGACCCCTCATAATCTGATCCCGTCTATGTTTTAGGCGCGTCATGCATGCGATCCAGTACGATCGCGGCTTCAATCCACAATGACGGCGGTTCCCGCGATTTTTTCTGTCGCACTCTATTCAACTCTATTGTACTCTCTCTCTTTGCTCTCCTCGTACATTGTACGTTTTTACGCTCTTTTTATTTGCTCTTATCTTATTTTACCGGAAAATATATATATAATTGTGATATTTATAATATATATTATATATAATAAAATAAAAAAAGTAATCACAACTGCATTATAAATTATAAATTGTAGACTCCAATTGGAAACTTAAATATCGAACGAAAATGGCCGATAACGGCGCTTTTTATGATCGCGTCTGCCGCAAACTTCGTGTGCAGAACGACAAAACGGATTGTGTTTCTACATGCAGAGAGAAAAACATACTAAATTTTAATAAATATTTGTTTAAATAGTGTCAATCGAATATTTATTAAATGTAAATATATTTATTTGATACAAAAACCACATTATTATAATTTGAATATATATTTTTTTATTTAGCAAATACATTTATTTCCCGCAGATAAATGTTATATTATATTTTAATATGGTTTAAACAATGAATTATTAAAATTATTAGTGCTTTTTTCTTTCATTGTAAAAATTTCTTACTGAACTTTTTTTTACTTTTCGCGTTTCTCTAACGTTTATTCAATTATATATGTATTCAATTTTAAATGCACCCTACAAAAAACAGTTGTTTAATTATGAGATTTTCAGACTATCGGATCTCGGTAACAATTAATGAACCAATTACTAAAAACCAAATTCTTAGTATTATGAATTAATTCTAATCTCGGTTCAACTTACCCTTCTACCTTTTCTAATTTCCATATTTATTTGTATCAATGTAAATTAATTTTAATCTTGATTTAACTTATACTTTTCATGTCTTAATGTTACTTTTATAGTTCTAAGAATTAAAAAAAAATAGAGAGTAAATTAAACCGAGATTAAAGTTAAGGATGGTGATCTGTTATGTCTGGTTTATGCTTCAATCTTAACCCTAAAATCCTGAAATTCAGCCAACGGAATACAGATTTCAGTTAGGATTAATTAAGACTGGCAGCCCTATTGGCTGAATTTTAAGATTTTAGGGTTAAGACCGAAGCATAAATCAAGCAATAACTTATGCCGTAATCTGTAAGAATTGACCAATTACAATCGAATGAGAGAGGAATCATCGACTATGCATGATTGATCAATTCTTACAGATTACGGCCAGTATAAATGATCGTTTAATTTACATTGGTAGAAATAGAGCTTAGAAAAAATAAAGAGACAGAATAAGTTAAACTGAAATTAAATAAGTCAATCTACATTGATGGAAACAGCCATTAATCGATAACTCATATTCGAATTATATATATAAGAGCAGTATCTTAATTTTTCATCTGCATATTGGATAAACGATATATTACAATGCAAAGTCATAGAAAGATCAAATTTATTCAAGTCTGATTAAAGTCTTCTTTCTCTTTCTAAAGTTCAGGACGTAGTGATGTTCAAAACAGTTCGAAACGCGCGCGCAATCTATATTCGTTGGACCTTGACTGCTTCGATTTTGGCGGGCTTTCCCCTGGTTGATAAACAACGGCAGCCATCAATTGATATGTTTTTTTAAGTTGTACTTATTGTACTGTTTATCCTACCTCCTTTTCTCTCCAGCAGGGAAAAAAAGAGGAAAGATGAAAGATTCGTGAAGTTAGCTAAAAAGAGTACATCGCCTATCATTTCATAGAACAAAGAGATACAGCTTACCGGTACTGGAGCGGTTCGTATTTCGTAATATCAGTAAGGCTGCGTTTCGTTTCACACACAATGCCCACGATGCATCACCCCATTCTTGTTTGACACTTGGCGAAAGACAAGGATAAAATGATACACCACGCGCACCATGCTTGAAACGGAACGCAGCCCAAGTATCAACAGAAAAATAGAAGTCGCTAATCGAAAATTTATGATCTAGGAGGCAGATCTCTATTCAGAACTACGAAAGGTATCTCTAACAAGATTCGACGTCTGCCTGGTCTATTGTTAAAAAGCACAGCTAAAAAAACATGGAACGATTGCGTCACGTTGAATTTATGGACATTGTTTTTATCGGAATATTATTCTGCACCGGAATCGCAAAAGCAACAGGTCAAGATGAGATAACACCGATATTTCCATTGGACAACGAGACACACAGTATATATATTAAATATACATTTCAATAATATCTTGGAATATTTTTATACATTAATTAAAATTGGTTTAATCAAATTTTACTGTATTCAATGTGAAACCTTGCGTATTCAGGGCTGTGTTCTGTTTCACGCATGATACTCATAATACATCATTTATCCTTGTTACCAAATGTTAAATAAGTATAAATGATGCATTATGCACATCGTGCGTGAAACGGAACATAGTCCAGATATGTATACAAATTCATGTAGAAATATTTAAAAATTACTTTGGATCTGCAAAACGTAAGATTTCTCTTATTTAATTTATTTTCATTTTTTGGTTTATTTAAATTAAAATTTGTATGTTATAAATCATTCAAAGATTCCTCAGTAGATACTTATAAAATATATAAAAATATTTATAAAGTATTTATAAAATTTATCATACAAAGGCCAAGTGATTTTTATTTTCTAGATGAATATATTATGGAAATGTATGATAATGGTTGTGAATGCATTAAATATAATTGTGGATGCTGTCAGCATTTACAGTGGGATGTAGTCTCTATGGATGGAAAGTGTAAGTACATAATTTTTGTAGTCTATATTGTAACAATTATTTAGTATTGTTATATTCCATTTTGATGCTATATTTCTATATATTATAGTATGCGTAAATGCAAGTTATTTAGAGAAGGACTATGGGATTTCACTCACAATAACATACAACAACTTTGTAATTATTAACGAGACAATTTCAGGTAATATCTAATTGCACAAATTAAAATATACATTGTCGTTGCCGTATTTCAATAAATAGAATATATATTTCTAGCTCGAAACCCGCCACCTATTTGCTTTGGAGAGGACATTTTAAATGAAGTAGATATTGAAGTTTGCTTGCATATGTATGATATAAACATTGATAAACATAAGTTTCACGTTTGCTTTGAGATTTATGGAAAAATAATGAAACTGCCAATCACTAAAATAAAATTAGGTTGTATCCAGACTAAACTGCATGACAAGATGGAGTATATTGAAAACAATTTGTCAAAATTGTTTCTTAAAGGGACGAAAAATGATGCACTACCCATTGTGACTATGGTATAAGTAACATACCAAACACAGACTCTCTATATAAATTAATCCTAATTGATATTGCTGTGGACCCGGATATTTTCTTTGACTACTTTATGATAAATTGCTAATAACAAATGTCCTTTACAACCTTCCATTTTAATTATGTTATATATTTTTATTTCTTGGATTTTGATTTTCAAAGTGCAAACATAATCGTTCAATTGCGTTAACTTTAATAAAAAATACGTTAATTTAAAATACACTGGGCCAGCAAATACTCAGGAAATTTAAGAACGATTAGGGTTAAGAATTGGAAATTTTGAGCTTTGTTTATATTGAGTTTCTTTTTTCAGAATGCATCAAAACAAAATGCACCATATATACTTTTATTTTTATGCTATATTGGTGTAATATTTAAGTTTAATTTTTCTGATTTAATGATGCAAAGCAGATCTATTATTTTGTATTTTATCATGACATTACATTGTATTTTTATAATCTTGTATGTGTATAGATATTAAATAAATATATATATTAAATGTTATATTTATATAATTTATGTATATTAAATGTACATTTATATATGTATGGTGTACTATTTCAAATATTTTTCTTTGTTATAATTATCTTGCATGGTATTATATAGGTATACTCTTAATTCAACATTGCTATCAATAATCTTTTCCACTCGGCGGTGCAATCGTTCTGGAAAAGAAAAAGATATTTTTTCGTATTATCAGTAAAACGAGCTGAGAATTGCATATTTATACGTTTATTAGAGATAAATGTATGCATTACATTTACATGCTTTTGGATTATTAACAATTGTGTTAAATATCTGACTGAGTTCTTTTAGTAATGAAAATAATTCCCTCCTTGAGCTCATTAATTCAATAGCGCGATCAGAAGCCGTTTAAAGTCGTCGCCGCAGTCATTCTGTAAATGCAAAAAAGTGTAGGAAAATTAAAGCTAAACATCGACTCAAGGCAAACCGTAATGTTTATGTATTTATAGTACGTACATATAACTAATATACAGAGGCATGCATGCGGTCAGAAATAACATGGACCAATTAATGGAATTAGTTTAGTGAAAGATAAATTTACGTTTAAATTAATTATAATTTACTAATGTACAATAGCCAATCAATAGATCGATTTTCGATCGATCTTTGCAGAGACTCTCGTACAGTTTTGTTATACAGATTTTCTATATTATTTTGTAACTCATTTTACACACGTATGTAGCATCACTCCAATCAAGTGCAAAACCTCTATAACTCGAGTAAAACCATATTCACCATTAACAGCCAACGAAACGTAAGAAACTAAATTAATCAAAATCTTTGCAGAATACAACGAAGCGCTATATAATCTCCGCGACATTGAAGTATAACTTTCAACAAAAGAGTCTGTTGCACGATTGAAATATTTTCATCCGACAAGGGCAAGCAAGAGTCTCTTGTAGTCGCCTGAACAGTCGTCCTGAAATTTATGGAAAGTTATACGGAATGCTAAGGGATACAATGTATACGTGAGTTAACAGATTATTATATTGTAGTTGATTATTTTATTATAGCTTAGTGACTGCTGATGCATATAAGTATACAGATGTGAAGGAATTATGTGAATGTGTAATTTAATATTTCGATTGGAGATAAAGCATTGTTGTATTAAATGAATGAAAGCTTAGAATTGAAGCGCTGGAATTAAATTGGATTTCGATCAAATCTGTGTGAATTAAAGAAAGAAATTGACTCTGAATTTATATTTATATATATATATATGTACTTAAGAATTTGTCATAAAAAATATTCTGTTTAAATTTGTATTTCTATTAATATTATTTTGTATTTTTATTTGTATTGCATTATATTATTGCGTTTCTTTATCTCTTATTAATTTTACTGCTACAGAAATAAAATACAATTACAAATAAAATACAATAAAGAGAGCAAACGTAATGGGTAGAATAAATAGCATGAGCACTGTTTCAGAAATTAACGTGTTGTACTTACGTCGATAGCTTCCGCAAGAGATTTTCCGTAAAGTCTCTCATAGGCATCCTTAATGTCGCCCAGATCAATCTCTGATCGTGTCACAATGATGCGTATCAATGTCGAATCGTTCGTGCCCATTCCGCGCATAGCTTTGTACAATCTTTCCGCGAAATAAGCAGTCTTATCGGAGGCGCATTTCACTGAAAGAAGATCGTTTAGATTCTAAACTTTAAAACAATGAAAATATATATACATGTATATGAAAAAAAGAATAGTACGATTAACAATAGTAACAAATAACTTCCCAGACAACAAAAAGTGTCTAAAATCAGGTCATAAGACATTTTTTGCGTCTAAAAGACGACTTACGTCATAATTTTAGACTTTGTTTTTGGGTTACTAAACAAATAATAAGTAAATTATTATATTTAATTTCTTACCCACAGCTAAGTATCCGTCTTCAACAGAACCAGAGAATTCTCGCTTGATAGCATGTTTCAAGGTGTCTCCGGTGAGGTGCTCATATTCTTTGAAGATCCGTCGCAATTGTGGAAAACTCTTAGTAATGAGAATTGCATTGAAAGTGCTTTCGTCGGTGCCCCATTGTCCCTCACCCGCGGTATGAAGCCTTTCGGCATCCTGACGTGCGGCCTCCTCATCGACGTCTGGATTCTCATCTCTACTGGCCTGATCGTTAATCAGAGAATAGAGAAAAACTGACAGAACAGTTGCGCGAAGTTGTACATCAATTTCCAATTGTTACTCACACAAGACAACGATACCAAAAGCCTCTTGAAATAACCGGAGGTATCGCTCTTGAGATCATCTTCCAGCTCTTGGTCGTACACTAGGGAGATAAATTAAGAATATATTCGTAATTCATAAACTGTATGATTTAGAATCGAGCAGAACTACACTGAAAAAAATTAAACTAAATTTTAATATCCGAATAGTTTTAAATAAATATTTACTTTTAAATGTAAACATATTTATTTGATTAAAAAACCATTAATTTGATTTTTTTTATTAAGTAAATATTTATTTACTGTAAATAAATGACTTATTGTTATAGTACCATTTAAAGAGATATGTATCAAGATTTAATAAATTTTTTCAATGTAGAAAATGGAAAATATAGTTTTTTTAAATGAACAATATTATTTTAGACTGTTTTATGTGAGAACACAATCAATATTAGCAATTACAAAGCCTATACGGTCGAAGTTAGATCTTCGATGTTTTAAATAATTCAAATCTTGAATCACTAAATATACTATATATGTACTTTTTTAAATGAAATTCCTGTTCTATGCAGGATAAAAGACGTGCTGACTAGGAGGCAAAATCAACTCCGAAAAATACGCTGCGTTGAAACTTACGGTCCTTGTAAACAGCCGATATCGTCTTGATGCCGTAGTTGCTCAGGGATGCAAGGACCTCGATGAGTGCACCCTCGTCGGTGCCCATGCCGGAAATAGCATCGTGCAATTCCTTAGCGTAATATTCGGGAAGAGGCGTCATTAGAGCAAGGATGGCTTTCTCGAAGTTTCCGGACAACTCTGACTTCAACTCGGAAATGAGGTCCTTGCCGTACATTGTCTTAAATTTGTCGGCAATTTCTAGTCGCTGTACGATGCCGCGATGAGACAAGACGTCCAATATGGCCTGCTCATCAGTCCCGAAACCCTTCATCGCAGATCGTAATAGACTGGCATCTTCCTCGGCATCGAAAGGATCAGCCGGATACACGGTGGGCGTGCACTGGAAACGTATTAATTTTGCATCATTCTATTATCTTGTTCGAAACGATTCAACAGATCGTCTCAATGAATGGAATTAAATGCATCGAGTTCATTAATTATATTAAAATTAGTTAATACATTAGAGTTAGATGATTTAATGTATTAAATCTTTTATATATATATTTTTTTTTTCAGTTGGTGCTCGACTTGCTTTTTTATCAAGTTATATTTTAAATAAATAAAAAAGATAGTATTCTTGAAAAATAAAAGCGTAACAGAAGCTCGTGATGAAGCAATTCTACTTTGATTTTATTGAACGTTTATTTTCAACTTTATTTAATAAATATAACAAACTTTCTGCATTAATTTAATAATGTAAGAGAATTCTTTTTAATTTCGCTTCTTTTAAATTCTATATTGTGCTTCTTTTAAATTCTATGTATTTATGCTAATTTTAAAGAAGAGCAGTGACACATTCGTTTTAACATTAACATATCTATGACTGGCATTAACATATATATTGTCTATGACTGACTCATTCTTACTAAGATTTTGCATTCCTTTTCTTTTTGAGTTTAGAAACATGCTGCAAAAGTTATAAGAATTACCTATCTATGATAGATGAATAAGAAACTAAAACAGCATAAAAACGAGATGATTCATCTTGCTCAGTCATTATTGCGAGACTTTTATTGCGAAGTTATGAGATATTAATATATGAATTACCTGTATGTGATAATACTGACTAGCTGCCATCTTGCTGATTATCTGAAAGCATTTTTGATACATATTTTATTTAAATAAAAAATTAAGAATATTAGAATTGTTAAAGAATCATCGATTATCAATATCATTTTAGGGAGCAAATACTTTGTTATTTTACTTTACATTACATGAATTCTCTCATTACATGAATGATTTTAATAATTTTATCTTTTCAGTCTCAGATCTAATTTGTAAATATTAAATTATTAATTAGATATTATTTATAATATTAATATTAATCTAAAAACTGTAGAAAATGCGGACGAATTTTTTTTGTGGTTTAACTAAAATCCTTTGCGTTATATTGTTATAATTGTGGCGCGCCTTTAATATAAAACTCATAATTGTTATTAAATTAAAAGCGACGATCTGCGATGATAATTTTCATCTACTGTCACGAATAATGCGTGCAAACACGCGATTTGACGATACGGTGCTTATGTCCTTGACTCATTTCAGATACGCCTCACGTTTGCGACGATGATCTCATCGAGTAAAACCCTGTACACATTTGCCTGTTGCTAGATGATTATTGAGAATCTGTTGTATCACTTCGCATGATTTAGATGACGAAGATACGATTTGCAGGATACCGCAAGATCATCGATTGGGTCAGCGAAGTGACACTCGGGGTGTGGCTTGCTTTACCTCCTTCGACAGCGATGTGCTTTCCTGGAGAGTGGTATCGGTTCTGGTGGCCGACTAACGGCTCGCACCCAGCGTTCTCGTCACCGAGAGCCTCTTTCGTCGAGGACGGCAAAGAGAAGAGGAATGGAATTTGTTGGTGGGGCGAATACGCGTTTGTGTCTGTCAACCGCGAAAGCATTAAACGATGGTTCAGTATTCTTGCCGACGGATGAAGCCCGGAATTGGATGACAACACGGAACAGACCGGTACCGGTCTCTCCGTAACTCTCACGTGGTCTTCAAATGCGAAACACTTCCGCGAAATAATTTCTAATTATTCGAGTTATCGAGCCGCGAATATTATTATTGTTCATGCTTCTCTTATCCTTGGTATTGAGTAATGATACGTGTAATATAAATTGTTATAGCAATAATAATGTTAAATTAACGAAATTGATTATTTCAACTTGAATTTTATTTACTTATTGCTCTTCATTTTTGTTAACATTGATCACAATAACTATTGATTTTTCAGCGCTTATGTCCTTGAAGGTAATAATCTTTGCCAAGCCATCGCTTTCGAAGCAATACGGTGCCAGGAAATAGATCTAATGCAAGAAGCATGAAATCGATATCGATTGTTCGGTTCATTATTGATGACCGATTTCGCAACACGAAATATTAATAATGATAAACTACATGACTAACAGGAAAAGTTTAAAGTTCGCGATATATATATATATATGTAACCCATTAATATAATTGCCAACGATGGCGGAAGTGGCTTTCGTTTCTTATTCAATCTCTAGTTCCCACAATGATTCATGGGAATTTAATAACGTCTTTTTGCTTAGAGAAGAAGAGAACACAAGCACAGTATGTTTTAAGAAAATAAGAAAAATAATTCAATATGTGTAAAAAGTTTTTAGTATCGATTGTAATTGTTCGTGAAATGATAATTAAATAATTTAGCAAACTTTAATCGTATCATGTCTTATAAGACAAATATGCTGTCTACAAATTTCTTAAAGTTCCCAAAATTATGAAATTTTTGGTATTAGCTTTTTAAACTTTATGTGGAATTGATTATGGGAAAATGAATAATTTGTTTATCTCTAGATTAATTAAGCTCTCAATATTTACAAGGTTGCGTAATAAGTTACTGATTATACTAATAATTAATCTGTATTTTTTTACTGATTACAATTGAATCATATTTAAAATTTAACAATCCAAGATTATTGAGGTGAAACAATTGTAGTTTGATTAACATGCTGCAATTACTTGATAAGCAATGCTGATACAATTAATTGATCAAGGCCAGCTACACGATGGAAGTCTCACATATCACTTTAATGCAAACTTCATTATCATACTTTTATATTTTTGTAAAATATAATGTATTAGTCTCTCAACATCTTTCTTTAAAGAATTTTATGTTAACTTCAATAATAGTTTTCACGTATCAGCTAATTAGAGAGATCGTGATTCATTTTAATCTGCACTTATATGTTATATTGTTTACAGCTTCACTTACAATTTGCGCAGAACACTGGCTTTCGGAATTCTTCGTCACGATCTACACGAATGTGAATGTTTCGCTGACTGGATGGGAACGTTCTGACAGCGGCAATATTAAGGACAGCATTGAGGAAAGAGAGAGACTGTGTGCTGGTCAGTACTGGTGGGGTTGTCGACGTAGCATCGAATAATGACGTGGAGAACGCATCCTGTGGCAAGCCAAAAGATGGCGAGTGAGCCGTCGAATTGATGCCATATACGAGATCGATAAGACTACAATGAAAACAATTAATATCTATATGCACATAAAATATCAAAAGCCGGACGTATTATATCATTAGACTATATATGTCACAGAATTATATCTCATTACTGATTTATAAACGTACTATAGCTATAATTTTAATTTACACGAATTGGAAATAATAATCGTTCGAAGTTCTTTTCTTATGTTTATTTTTAACTTTAAACAGATATAATTTTTACTTGTATAAATAGAACGATTTTTTTTAGGTACAGTATAATTATGTATTATGATTAAAAAATTTTTTTTAATATTCTATTATAAAATTTGAAAGATTTTATGAGAAAATTTTGCTTTGTTTTCTAACTTAATATTTTACATAAAATAACATTGATTGTTAGCTTCTATCTTTCTCTTTTAAATAAGAAGAATGAGTGGATAAAAATTTATTTATCATATCTAATTTGCCTATGTAGTTTCGTAAAATTCAGAATATATCGTTTATTGTGTATTTCCTTGATTTTTTCATGAATGTTACTCACGATCAAGTATATGATTCATAATCCTTGACTCAATGAGAACAGATCGTGACGTTCTTTTTCACGTAGAATGCGTGACGGAATCAGCACGCATTCTACGTGCCTCGGAAGTCACGCGTTTTCCTGTGAACTGCAGAATGAGACCGAACTATAAATAAACGTATTGTAACGTTAGGCGTTATTAAGTTAAAAGTGAGATTACGTCTTTAACAAACGTAGATACAAGTGTCAGTTATGCGAAACCGATAAATAACAAACCGATTGATCTCAAGTAAATTTTTAATATAACTTTAATTTAATTGTTATCAGTGCATTTAACGTATCCAAGTCAAAGATTTATGTAACAAACGAACATTGTTTTCTGTATCTATGTATGTCCCTGTGAGTGTAAATGATGTCGTCATACTGCATAACATGCATACTTGTAAATCTATTCACCCAACACTGTAATCAGATTTTCATGACGCATTCCAGAGGAGCTCAATGAATTAGCTATGGTATCCAGTACAAGGATTATTATTTAATTTAAAAAGCAAAGGAAATGTATTGAAGAATTAATAATATTCTTTGTGGGTTTGATTTGTTATACGGAATAATATTCTTGTAAAATTTCTATCGTTATTGTAATATATTTTAATATATTGCGGCGAAAAATTATTAATTTTTGTATTGAAAATTGACACTTGGAACTTATAACTTACAGTAGAAGGAAAACATCGAGAAGCCGTCTGAAAATGTTTTATTAAGATTACATATGGCAAGCGAGGCTTCAGTTTCCAATTCCTCAAATGAAAAATCCATCTCCCAATACTGTTTCCGTTAAAAAGTGCATTTCCTAGCATCTTGCACTTGTTTTATCTAGATTATCTACTAAAAATTTGTCTAGGTTTATCACCTTTGCCACTTTGAGAGATTTCTTTTAGACTCCTTGTACGAATCGTTCCCTTACATGTCCACGCTGTACAGTTGTAGTACAGCGAAGAATGCGTGAGCTGAATGCTGTAATCATTCATAATCACGAATAATATCCTGATAATGAATTTCTCACATTTTGCAGAATATGATACATCGTCTTAACAGTAAAATGTATATTTTCAACATACCGTATAAGGATTTATAAAAAAAATTAATATACAGTACTGAAAAGCCTTCATCAAATACATCAAAACAGATCTTGATGATTCGCGTTGTGCGTAGCAAAGGAATCATCTTATACAAATTTTCAAACCGTACACACGTACGATTCTATCTTACTTAGAACTATCTTTCGACTATACAAGGTGTTTGCGACATGCAATCTTGAGCTCAACATCGTCGAATTTGAAATATTTTTTCTTGACGAAAATTATTTAAAGTAATCATTTAATCTTAAAATTTCAGTTATATATCTTTGTAATCAATTTCATACAATTAATTCTTTCAGTCATCGTTTTGCTGAAGCAATCAAAATACGAATAAAAAGATTCTTCATTTTATCTTCATCTCTTCAAAAAAGATTCAACATCTTCTCGACTTAAAAAAATAACAAAGAATAATTAAAATTGTCAAATATATTATTATCAAGATTCTATTTTTTTTAAATAAAATATATTACATGTTTATTCAAATTTTCTTGATTATTATTAAAATAAATTTATCCAATCGTGGCATAATACCAATGAAAATTGCAAACGTAAGACAGAAAAAAGTATTAATTTCCTATTTTTCAAAGTTTTCTTAGAAAACTTTATGCAGAAAAATTTATCCTGCATTTTTTATTCATTTTTTCTAAATGATCTAATCACATCGCCAATAATCACCTTGTACAATCAAAACCATCTATCATTAATGGTTCGATACAGTGCGTGTCAGACATTTTAGATCTCCATAAATTAACGATAATAAAGAGAAATTGTATGCAAGAACAATACGAATATAATGTACAATGAAATTAATTAATTTTGCTTTAGTAAAACACAATTGGGGTTTTACTAAACGTCATCAACATTAAATACGTAGACATTGTTAATTATGTTCATGGGTAACTGTGATTTGTTACAAGGAAATGAAAGTAAAAAAGAAAAGGATGAATTCGAGAAACGCATGTTATACTAATCGTGTGACGTTCTTGATATGTTTTATGTATCTAACTATTAAACATTTTTGCAGGCGCAATTAATACAATGCATTTGTAATACCGGTAATTAAAATATCTCTAACGACAATGCCACTTGCAATAATACATAATGAAGATATCAATAATAGATGTATAGTGTATAGGGAGAAAGAGATTTGAGCGATAGTAATAGTAGATTAAGAGTGACTTAATAATAGTATCATTATCGCAAGTAGTAGAAGTAGCAGCAATAGCAATGACAATAGTAATGCTCTTTCAGCAACAATAATAATAATACATGTTCCGATATTCATACAATAAAAAATATAACAAACATGCATTCAACAAATTTTTATATAAAAAACGAACTGCAAAAGACTAAGTAAATCTGCGACCAAGACGCGATAAAAAATTACTACATATTTTCTTCGCTGGACTCGATACATAAGTGCATATATTTAATCACTTAATTATAAATGCGCGCGTTCATGCGACAATTATTAGCTTCAGTATATGTCATGAAAAAAACAAACTATCCCTACATTGTACAGTAAAACGTCGATCATCCGAGAATATAAATTAACACGAGAACCGATGCTATGAGTAACGGTTATACCAGTAGAAAAACATTAAATATAGACATACATATTAAATACAAAAGAAATAAAGATAACAAAAAAATTCTTAGCGAAAAATCTTACATTAAGAGATATCTGTAATTTAATGTAAACTAAAAAATATATGTATAATTCCTTAAAAACATAAATTCTCTTTCTAATAACAAGATCATATATAATTCCGTTGAGATAAATATAACATTGCTTTAAACCCTCCAGTACTACTTATACTGTATATAATCTCAAGCTTCATGTGAATCGCAACAAATATCTTTTAATACTTTGTAATAAATATCTTTAATTACAAATATCTTTGTAATTAAAATATGTTACAATCTAGCGATTGCGATTTGATGCAAAATTAATGCAATCATTGATAAGCGAGCATGGATAATAAATTTTACAATGGCATAGTGCACGAGTACTGCAGAATTCAAAAATTGAAACAAATGTATGTACAAAATATTCCAGATTCATTGCATTCTCTTTTATCTACAAATTTTTTAACCAGCCGCTTAGTTCAAAGAATTAGTAGTCAAGAAGAAATGCCGCGAGATCTGAAATAATTTTCTCTCTACATATACTATATATGTTCGCATTGTAACGCAGTAGTTGTGAGAGGCGGAGGATGCGTAGTTTAATATCAGATAATGCGTTCAAGGAAGTAGTATTATATTTGTCATACTGATATCGGTAATCTTTTGGAAGAATATCATTTCTTTCTTGTGCTTTCTTTCATCCAGATGAATATTCGCAGGAACGTTTTTATGGAAACATCTCTCTCACAAACACGCACTTGGGACAGTCGCCGTTCTACTGTATTTTATACATAAGAATGGTGCTCGCAAACGACAAATTCAACAATAATTGTATTGCATCTTTTACAGAGTGAGACACTTAACTTTACCATCTGAAATATCCTCTTCCATCTGACATGACAGAAAAAGCCATACATAAGAAGTTCCAGAAAAGATCATAGCAGTAGATACAAGTAGATATTGTGAAAAGTCGAAAGCTTTCTGTGCATACGATATAATTCACTTAAATTTGATAAAAAGAAAAAGTGCAAAATAAATGTTTAATTCACAAACGTATTTATCAAGATGAAAATTATCACAGACATGCTGTTTCATACGCCAATGAGTGTTCCATACATCATCAATCAGTTAGACACACGAAAATTCGAAGATAATTTTATACATATGAAGCAATAATTCTTAAACGACATTCCAGAGAAGATATTGTTATATTCACTTAGTCAATCTATACTATGCAAATGTTTTCTAAAAACTGCAAAAATTTCGTATTTGTCATTGTCGTCTTATATCTAAATTGTTTCAAAATTGAAATCTTAGTAGAAAAGTAAAAAAGTAACACAAAGATGCTATTATATTATTATAAAATAGTAAATTTAATCCACCAAATAGATTAGAAAAATTATAGATAAAAGAAATATAAAAGGGTAATATAACATTTTTTCTTCCTATATATAAATTGCTTGAAATTGATTTCTCTTATTGTCGACATTTCTTTTCTATTTATATATACAAGCATTCTATATTTGTCTGCTATAGTTTATATAAATTTATTGAAGCTTTGTCACTGTAGTGTCTTACTTAAAGAAATATAATTATTGTTTTGCGGAAGTATAAATAATAACGGACATGCTCTTGCTTCTCAATTAGTGACATGTCTAAAGAATTATGAAAGCAATGAGTTTTACTAGGGAACTGTCAATCTCTTATAATTTATTATCTTTGGACGATAAAATATCTTTGGACAGAGATTGAATATAAACTTCCTTC